GGGGGGGGGGGTCATCTCTCGCGTGTGTGGCTGGAGTGTCAGGCCCAGCTCTTTCTCTTTCCACTGCGCTGCCTCCGGGTCCTGGGTGTCCAGACTCCATCACCTGAGTACAGGAAGCAGCCGGTGGTTGAAATGACCAGTGACACCGATGACAGTTGCCGAGGGGCCCTCCTCAGTGAAGCCTCGGACCACTCCCAGGAGGAGGCAGTAAATCAGCTGCACAAGTCCAGGTCCTGCAGCCCGATTTTTGTGTTGTGTTTTTGTTTTTGTTTTTGGTCCTTTATCAAATGTAATTGTAGACACGTGTGTATAAACAGCTGAAAAAAAGGGTGGGAGCCTCAGGCTAGGGGCCTCTGCCACTCTTACGACGTCAGATTTTCTTCAAAATTATCGGTGAACCATTGTAGTGATGAAAATAGTGATGGTCAGGAGGAGGCCCAAGGCCAGGGCCCTGATGTTGAGGCACCTGGCGGCGGACGCACGGCTCTGGGCCCCATCACGTCGCCCACCATCTCCAGGTCCCTAGACTTCAGGGGGCAGGTGACGCCGTGAAGCCCAGGCGGCGGGGGTTGAGGAGAGCATGTTGAACAGGTGTGGTCAGGCACGGCCACCTCTGTCTGGATGTTGATGACAGTGGTTCTCGGGGCACCGAGTTCTGGGGAACCCCAGCATGCCACCTCGGGTTCCTCCTTGAGCACCTCACAGAATGGGGGGCTCCAGTGTGGGGTCCAGGGAAGGAGGGCGGGGGGGTGGTTCATGGTGTCAAAACAGCAGATATCGTCTGGATCCCAGGAGAACCAGGCCTCAGCGGGGGCTTCCTGTCCCTGGTAGTTTCGATTTCTCTCAGCCCAATCTTGTTCAGGCGCGGACGTCGCGTGTGTACCTCAGCTTTGGGATGAATCTTTATGAAGGACCCTGAGCCCGTGGGTCCTAATTTCCAGCAGGCAGAGTGGGGCCCTTCGGCTGCGCAGTGAAACCAAGGGCCCCGACCCCCACCCAGCTCCTGTCTTCCAACCACATTCAGCGGCCCCTGGCCTGACCTTTACCTGGTGAGATGTGCAGGTAACAGGTGCTCGTTCCTGCCCTGAGACAGAGCTGACCCCACACAGATGCACATGCTGTCCAGGGAGTGCCTTCGGGACGGGAGAGGCCGTCCCGTGAAGGGCGCAGCTCTGCACGCCCGCTGTCTGCGGTCCTGGCCCGCTGCGTTTCCGTGAGCTGCGCCCTCACTCTCAAGATTCAGCGCCACGCTCACCCTTCATCACACCCACTCTGTGAGCCTGTGCTCTGTCCTGTGTCCCTGTGTGTTGACAGCAAGGAGAACAGGTGACACCCGAGAGAAAGGACTCGTATGGTTTATTCTACTAATTCCATTCCAACCAACCGCCGTGGACAGTTGTCAAGGTGAGATGCTGACCACGTGACTGCAGTCTCCATGGCAACCGCATTAATTAGAACGGCCTGTCCCACTTCGTTGTTTCCAACAAACAACGGCACAGCCGTCCTGGGTTTCACCTCCTGCTCAGGGTGCCCATCGGCTGACCCGAGTCCCAGGACCCACGCGAGCCGCGTGTGGACGGTCGGCTGTCCGGGCGAGTCCTGCTCCATCGTCTGAACAGACCTTTTTGTAAAATACTTAACCCAGTTCAGACACTTACTATACATATTATAAATGTGTGACGTGAATATATTAAAATATATAGAATACGTACATATTTTTTTGCCCTGGCCAGTGCTGCTCAGTGGTTAGAGCGTCAGCCCTCAGACTGAAGGGTCTCAGGTTCGATTCCCTGGGTTGCAGGGTCCATCCCTGGCCCTGGCCGGGGCACATGCAGGAGGCAGCCAAACATGTGTCTCTCTCACATGGATGTTTCTCTCTCCCTCCCCCTCTCCACTTCCCCTCCCTCCCACTTTCTCTAAAAATCAATGGAAAAAATATCCTTCGGTGAGAATTAAAAGATATTTATATATATAATATATCACGTATTTTTTAAAGCAGCGACTGAGGGAACCTGTGAGGGGGATTTGGCCACAAGTTTGCATGAGGGGTGACCCGCGTCCTCTGCGCCCCCCCGGTCGGCCCCGGCTCCCTTTCTGTAAACTTAGGGAAATGGCAGGCGGTGGCCATGCGCGTGGGCTTGGTCACGGTGCTGGGATGGACGGACCCGTCTGAGGCTCCGGCGCGGCTCGCTGTATTTAATGCAACTAGCAAGTGTCCGTGGGAGCACAGTCCTCACCGGGGGTGCGATGCTCCCCAGGACCCGACCAGCCGCAGGCAGCAGGCAGACAGTAGCCTGGGGAGTCTGTGGAGCTCTGTCCTGATGCCGACAAGCCTAAGAAACCTGACGCTAACCGGAGGTGGAGGTGGAAGCACCTGGCCGCCCTGCCTGATGGGCACCTGCGTGGGCACCTGCCTGTGTGGGTAACAGGGCTGTCCTCACGGGAAGGGCACAGAACGCAGCTCTGGGCAGCGACATTTGATCAAATACGCCCGCGTCTCCTGGGTCTGTGCATCGTGGTGACTCGGTCCCACAGGACACACACTGAACTGTGACTTTGTTTCTCTCTTTGCAGAGGAGGAGGCCGGGGACCTGGTCCAGCCGGGCATCAGCTTCCCGGGGCCGGCAGAGGACGATCTGGGTAAGGAGCAGGCCAGCCCTGGTCACGCACAGGCGGTGACCACAGACCCGGGCTGCGGGCCGTCCGCACGCCTGTCCCTGTGACCGTTTCCACTGACAGGCTTATGCATATGTCTGACTTCAGTGTCCTAATGAGACCTCAGTAAAAGGTGAAATTTAAAAAAACACACAGTAGTTTATAAACATGGAAAGTTCTGGTGGGAACACGTTTCCCTGGGTCATCATGGGTTAATTATTACCTCAGATTATTATTATTATTATTATTAGTTATTGAGGCAGGTTATTAACGTTAGGGTTGGCCAATGACACGAGCTGTGACAGAATTCACAGCGGAGAGAAGAGATGCAGAGAGGAAGCGGTTACTTTCCAAGGGAGGACTGGGCGGGCGTGTTGCTGGTCAGCTCGGCTGGGCGGCTGCACTTGGACCGAGCAGTTGCTGTTGCTAAGCAACGAGGAAGGGAGGGGCCTGGGTTGTCTCCAAGTTGAGCAGATACCAGGTTCTGTCCTGAAAAGTTAGTTTGCTTGCTTTCCTGGAGGCATCCGGCAGACGTCCCAGGGACGCGTCTTATCAGTATTTTTCCCAAACCTGTCAGACAAGCTTAGGACAAGTTACGGAGTTCAAAAGAGGCTTGTTGGGG